CGGGGGCTTCGCGGTCGGACGCGCCTAGTTTCATGTCGCGTAGGTCGGTGGCGAGGTTGTGGACGTCGTTTAGTAGCGCGGTGTATAGGCGTTGGTGGTCCATGGTTTTTCTTTCTTGGTTTTCTATTCGTTCGTAGAGTTCGCAGATCCACAGGATGATTCCGACGGAGGCGAAGGCGAACGTGACGGCGGTTGCGAGCAAAGTCAGGAAGTCGGTCATGCGGTCTCTTTGGTGTGGTAGTCGTGGGCGGCGAGTATGGCGAGGGCTAGGGATTTGGCTTCGTCGAGGGTGCAAGTTAGGTCGAAGTGGGCGGTGCTGATTTCGACGAATGGATCGTTTTCGCTGGTGTATACGCGGGTGGTGTGCCGGTGTTCGATGTCGGTTCCTTCGAACGCGGTCGTGGTGTGCGAGGTAATCCATTGCGCGAGCCCGTCCTCTTCGAGCGGTGTCGGTAGTTCGTAGGTCATTAGTTGGTTCCTTCCGGGAAAACTTGGTTGTAGCCGTGGGCAAAAGACCACGAGATTAGGAATAGGACACCGACGACGGCGAAGGATAGGACCGCGCACATTAGCGCTTCTTTGTAGGTCGCTGCTCCGACCCATACGGGGATTAGAAATATTCCGACGAAGAATAGGGTGATTCCGATTGTTCCGAGGATTAGCCAGATCATGAGTTGGTCTCCTGTAGTCGTTGGTGGATGTCGCCGAGTCGGTAGAGCAGGCGGCCGTGTGCGTTCCGGCCGGTTTCTTGGATGTGTCCACGGGCGCGCCATTTACGGATTTGGTCGGCGGTTACGGGTAAGCCGATGTGGTTGCAGATGGTCGCGGCATCGGTTGCGGTTACGGCGCGTTCGGCGGCGTGGTCGGTGAGTGCGTCGCGGTGGCGTTCGGGTTCGTCGCCTTGGTCGGTGGGTTCAAGTGCGCGGGTGATTCGGGCGGTCATGGCGTCGATTTCGTTCGCGGCATCTTCACCCCATTCGGCGCGGCCGATGTGGCTTAGCACGCGGCTCATGCGGTGCGCTAGTTCGGTGAGGTTGATCTGGGTTCCGGTGAACCATGAGGGCGGGAAGCCGTAGTCGTCGGCGAGGTTGGTTAGCCAGCCGGCCAGGGTGTCGCGGGCGTCGATTTCGAGGTCAACCAAGGACAGGTTGATCGGGGTTCGTGGGCCGAAGGAGCCGCCCATAATGCCGGACGCGTCGGGCGCGCCTTTAGCGGGTGTTTTGGTTCCGGCGGCGGCGAGGACGGGCGCTAGTCGGGTGAGTGCGGCGAGGTTGTGGCCGAGCTGTGCGAGGGTGGTCGGGTTAAGCATATTGGTCTCCTTTAGAGGTTCTGGGCGGTGGCTTTTTGGTGGGCGTGGGCTATTGCTTCGGCGTAGGTGGCTCGGATGTTTAAGTCGTCGACTTCGTTGTATAGCGCGCTAAGGTCGCGCCATTCGGTCGCAGGAATCACGCCGGGCGGGTAGACGTGCCACGGGTACATCAACGGCCTTTTGTGGAATTGGTGGCGTACTACGCGCCATTTGTTGATGTTCATGTGGGTATTCCTTCGGGGAAGTCGAGGGTGAGCCAGACAGCGCCGGCGCGGTTGTTTTCGGCCGGGTGAATGATCGGTTCCGGGGTGGAAACAATGTCGTGTGTGTCGTCGCGAACTAGTCCGTAGTCGACCAGGCCGTCGACGGCTGCCTTCACGGTCGGATAGAGGTTCACGGTGTCGCGGCGGCGGTTGGTTTTCGGTCGCCAATGCAGCTGCACGATGACCCGCGGCGCGTTCTTCGGGAGGTTCGCGGCTTTAGCGAGCCAGTGGGTTGTGTTGCGTACTTCTTTGACGCGGCGGGCGCTTTCGGCCCAGTGAAGGCGTTGGTTCGCGGTGATGGGTGGCGAGTCGTATGGAAGATCGAGCCGCGGCCGGTAAGGGTGGTTCATGATTGGTTGTCCTTTGATTCAAATACGAAGAATTTGGGGGCGCCAGCGGCCTAACGGGCCGTGCCGGTAGTCCTGGCTAGGTCGAGCATTTTCGGGGCCTTAAATCGAAACGTGGAAGGTTTTAGAAATTCGCGGCTTCACCGAACCCGGTGACCCGTTGCTTTCGCTGCTCGGATTCGGCCGCCGCTTGTTCCTGGAATTCTTCGGAGTCCCGGGCAAGCTTCCGCTTCCGCATTTGTTCGACCAAGCCCTGCAGCTGTTGACGTGCCGGAGCTTCCGCGGATTCCCGGCGCGCTTCGGCTTCGGCGCGTTCCCGTTCGAGCTTTTCGGCTTCGACAGCGGCGAGAGTCGACCGGTTGACTTCCGCGTCATGGCGACAGCGCACCAGTGGGTCGGAGCCATGTACCCAGCCGGCTTCGTCGCATAGTTGGCAATTGGCGATCGCGGTTCGGCGGCGGCGGTGGTCGTCGGCTTGGTGTTGTGCCTGTCGGTCGCGTTCGCGTTCGGCGGCGCGCCGGGCATCGCCACATTGACCGCATGCCGGCGGGGTGGTTTCGAGAATGTGAGTCGAGCACCGAGCGGCGCGAGGGTCGGCGATCCACGATTCGGGAATTTGAGTTGGGAGGGGCTCGCGTGCGTGCGCGCGTGGAACCGTAAGATCCCCTCCCCCCTTATTTATATGGGTCGGGTCGGGTCGGGTCGGGTCGGGGCGCTGCAACACGTCAGGGGTGTTGCGCTGCAACACTTCCGACTGTTGCGGTGCAACATCTTCCCCGCCGCTTTCTTGACCTGCACGTTCGGCGCGACGACGTTCGCGACTCTTCCTCATTCGTTCCGCAGACGCGGCGCGTTCGGCTTCTGTTTGTGCCTTACTTGGGTTGTATTCGAGCCACGAATCGAAGCTGAATCCACCCGATTCGACGTTCCAAAGTCCCGCGTTCACCAAAGATTCGACAGTTTTATCCGTTGGTCCCCACACTTCGATCATGTAGTTCGGGACGAATCCATCGGTGCCTTGACCGGCTACCCATGACCCCGCGATGGCCCATAATCCGGCCGCCTGGAACCGGTGCCGCTTAGGGATTGAATTCAGTTTTCGGGACGCGTGGAAGTTGTCGTCGAGCTTCATCCAAGCCATTTTTTCCACCTCCTTTTCGGTGTTGTGTTGGAAGATTTTTAGTTGTTGGAACCATTCGTATTTGCCTTATTTCGGAGCCCGTTCACGTACTCGTCGACGTCGTCGCGGTGCCACCGAAGGGCGCGGCCGCCGGGCCGAATCGCCTTGTCATTCATGAGCGGGTGATCGCCTTTTAGTCGCCAATTGCGAAGCGTGCCGACCGACAGGCCGAGTTCATAGGCGACTTCTTCCATGGACATAAGCGTCGGTCGAGGGCCGTAAACTTCTTCACCAAGACTGTTGTTAATCATTGTTTTTCACCTCGTTTCTTAACTAGATAAGACAATAGTTATATGCCAGCGAATGATCTAGTTAGTCGCTATTAGTTCCCTATTCTGGGGGAAGCTAAAAGGCGTATAGACAAAAAGAAATAGCCCCGCGCCACCACTAGGTGACACAGGGCTAACCATTGAATTATCCGAACGTTCGCCGCGGCTGTTGGTCCGCCGGGGCGTTACGGTTTACCTGCGCAGACGCAAACCGAAGCGACGGCCCGACCTCGTCCGCATTGACTTCGTACACGGTCCGGCGGTTGCCTTCCCGGTCGTCAAACGAACGCTGAACCAGCTTGCCAGTCACAATGACGCGCGCGCCTTTAGCGCATGAATTCGCCACATTCTCGGCCATTTCACGCCACACATTGCACGTTATAAACAGTGCTTCGCCGTCGACATATTGGCCCGAATTCCGGTCATATACGCGCGGTGTCGACGCCACACGAAGAGACGCGACAGGCGTGCCGGATTGTGTGAATTGCAGCTCGGGATCGTCGGTCAGATTGCCGATAATCGTGATCGGGGTATCGCCAGCCACTAGATCTCCCACCCTTCGGCCTGCAGGCGAGCGTTACAAGCTTCGGTGATCCGGTTGAGTTCCGGGGAGCCGTTCGCGAACTTTGCGTCCGCATCCTCGAACACCTTCGACAGCGCTTCGAGAGTTTCAGCGGCGTTAGCGGCGTCCACAAATCCACCCACAGCAGCGTCCATGTCAGCCGCTTCGGTCGCGTCGACGGCGGCTTGGAAGGATTGGTGTGCGACTTCTGCGGATTCGGCGGCGCGAATAAGCGGATCGGCTTCGGCCGGCGCGGATTCCACGGCCAGGCGCTCCTTGATTTGGTTGATAGACCCCTGAGCGCCGGAGCCACGCGGCGCGGCGGTATCGGTACGCACCGCCTCGACGGTCTTAATTTCCGCCGGTTCATACAGACCGGAGGTCAGCGAGCACACGCGACGGTGCGCGCCGGCTTCCGCACATTTAGCGAGCTGCGTCGGCCCGTATTGCTTCCATTGGGCGTTAGGCTGGCCGTTCTTATTGGTTTGAACATATTCGTCCCAGGTGACCACGTGAGTCGCCGAGGAATCACCGACAGAGACCGTGATCTCGGCGGCTTCCGGGTGATCGCCGAACTTCTTCGACCAGAACGGGCGCGGCACACCTTCCGCGTCGTAGAACGTCGGCGAACCGATGTTTAGCGGCTTGCCGAGTTGGTCCGCATAGCGGCGCGAGACCTTACGGAAACCATCAATGCCGACCTGAACCGTCCACTTGGTCTCCCAGCGTTCCGGTTCGCCGCGGTAACCGCCGGTTTTGGTTTTACGGCCGATAAGCCACACTTCGCGAAGGAACGGATCTAGACCGGTGCGTTCGGCAACGGCCGACAACATGTCTAGGTCGCCGTCGGAAGCTTCGTCGAGACCGCCCAGGGCGCGAAGCGCGTCGAGTTCGCGCGGGGTGTACTTCGAGGACAGTTCACCGGCCTGGCGAACACCACGGTCCCCGGTCGTGCCGACCATGTCGCCGGCGGCCTGAGTGGCGACAGCGTTGTCGGTAGTTTTAGCGGGTGTATTGGTCATTGGATTCTCCTTCTAAGAAATGAATAGATGTAAGTGGAATTGGTTCGGTCATGAGAACAGGACCTCCTGCGCGAGCCGCTTCGCGATAAGTTCGCAATAGGACTCGTCGACTTCGACGCCTATGGCGCGCCGGCCGATGTTCTTCGCGGCCCGTAGCGTCGTGCCGGACCCGGCGAACGGGTCGAGCACCACCGGAGCGGGCGCGCCGGGTTCGTGCGCGGTGAACCAGTCGATAAAGGTTTCAACCATGCCGATCGGCTTCGATGTGGGGTGACCGAGCCCGCGCGAAGCGGGAAGGTAAAAGTTTCCAGCCAGACCGCCGCCGGTCCATAAGCTTTTACGGTCGTCCCGGTGCATGTATGCGATTGCTTCCCACCCCTGCGCCGGCCGGTCACCCGTGAGTTGTGGCATCGGTGCTTTTTTCATCCACACACCGATCCGCTTCATCGTCAGCCCCGCCGGCGGTTCGGCGTCGAATTTCGCGGCGTGCTGGTAGTCCATATTCGCGACGACCCAGCCGCGGGATACGCGCCCACATTCGGCCATGATCGCGTCCAAGTCGTCGTCGGTGATAGACGCGAAAGACATGCCGACAGTGGCGTGCTCTTCGGTCGATACGCGCGAATTGGTGTGCACGCGTTCGGTATAAGGAGGATCAGTCACGACCGCGTCGACCGCTTCGTCGGCGAGCATTCCAAGCACTTCGCGACAGTCGGCGTGATACAAAGTGACTAGGTCGTCCTGGTAGTAAGGCGTTAGCGAGATCATGCCGCCGCCTTCGCGGCCTTCGGAACCTTGAAACGAAGCTGAACGCCGCGCTTGGTCGCCGAGCGGGTCGCGATAACCACGCCCTTCGGGTCGGTTGCTTCCGCACCGCGCTCCATCGCTTCCAGCACGCGGGCGCCGATAGTTTCCGAGTCGGCCTTCGCGCGGCGCGCTGCGGCGTCGGCTTCCTTTTGTGCGGTTTTCACACGAACCCAATCAGCGGCGAGCTTTTCGTCGAGGGTGACCGGGTCGGCGTCGTCGTCAATATCCGGGTGGCGAAGCTTCGCGATCTTGTAGTCGCGTGGCGAGGTCGGCGCCGGCGGTGGACCGTCGAGAGTTAGCAGGAATTTAGCGACCTGCTCGGCAAGCACCCGCGCGAAGTCCGCGTCGTACTCGATGTGGAATTCCTGGTGGGAGTAGTAAGGACCGAGCACGAAGAGGACGGCCGGGTTCTCGATTAGGCCGGATACCAGCATTTCCCACGTGACCTGGATCAGCCAATCAGTGGGGATCGTTTCTTCGGTGAGGTTCGACCATTCTTCCCAGTCTTGGACTGTCTTAAATTGGACGGTGCGCGAGTTTTTGGGGCTGCGGCGCGCGTTTTTGATAGTCGCGATCCGGTCCGGGGTCGCGGCGTTCGGGAACGGTAGATGTGGGTTCGTGACTTGTACTTCCCCGCGGGATAGGCGCCATTCGGGGTGATTGAGTAGCAGCCAGTCAGCCATGACACCTTCGAAGGCGTGGCCGGCGTTGAACCGGTCGGTCATGTCGGAAATGTCCTCTTTATGACCGTTCATTAGGCAGTGGGTCGAGTATGGCGTCGAGTAGGCAGACTCGCCGAGCATTCCGGCGACCTTCGACGCGGTCACCATGCGAGACCATTCAGGCGAACCGGGCTCGGCCTTCGTGGCTACTTCGTGAAGAGTTTCCGGGGTTTTTAGCGGTGGTAGGTCAATAGTCATTAGTTGTATCCTTGGTTCCTTTTCCAGGCGCGAACTTCGGCCGAGTCAAAGACGACGCGGCGGCCAATTCGGTAAGCGGGTAACGGGTCGTGTTTACGGCCGGCGAGGTTGTAGACGGTGCTTCGGGATACGCCGAGAATTCCGGCGGCACCGACGGCGTCAACGTTTCGGGCGGCGATAGGTGTGGACATTCTTGTCCTTTCAAGTGGTTAGGCGACGTGGTCGGCGTCACGCGGTCGAACCTCGAATAAAGCGTCGAGAGAGACAGAGAACGCGGCGGCGCATGATGCGGCGGCGTCGGCCGAGATGGGGAGCCCGTCGAGGGCGCGGGACAAGGTTTGTCGGGTGCAGCCGATGCGCTTCGCGGCCGATGTGAGCCGAAGCCCGTGCGCGGCGATCAGGCTCTCCATGACTTCGGTTCGTAGGTACAGGGTGTGTTTGGTCAAAGCGGTTTCACCTCCTTTCGGTTCGCCACCAATCTAAGCCGCTTATGGTTCGGCGGTAAACCAGTTACACCGTTCCGGGGGTAAACTTTTTCTTATCTTCCCAGGTCAAGACGAACAGGGCTGGCGCGTGGGCGTGCCACCGGTGTAACGTCTCGGGGCATGAGCAAACTCACCGATTGGGTAACCGAAGTGACCGGCGACGCGTCATGGCGAGCCATCGCGACGGCGACCGGAACGACCCACGCGACCATCCAACGACGGCTGGAACATGAGCCCGGCGCGGCCGTGCTAGAGATAGCGCGCGCCTATGGTGCGAACCCCCTCGGTGGGTGGGTGGCGGCTGGCCTTATCACCCGGGAAGAGGTCATCGAGTGGGCCGAGACAGCGAAGCTTGAAGACGTTGGCGACGTTGCGCTTGCGCGCGAAGTGCTACGTCGAGCGGAAAAGTCCGACCTAAACAACAAAACGGGCCCCCACCATAAAGGTGAGGGCCCGCGTTGCAGCGTATAGCGCAGACCATTCGCAGTAACAGTAACCCACAAGAAAGGTTCCACAGTTGTGAGCCGCGCCCGAATTGCGGCTCACTTCTGACAATACACAATGTCAGTTCAAAAAAGAAACAGAAACAATAAAACCCGGTGGGTCGGTCGATACCGAGACCCCGCCGGCAAGGAACACTCCAAGACTTTCGACACGCGCCGGGAAGCAACCGCCTGGGTGGCAGAGCGTCAGCGCGACATGAGACGCGGCGAATGGATAGACCCGGCGGATCAGACCACGACGATCGGTCAGCTTGTCGATGAATGGACGGCGAGCGCGACCCGGCCGAATACCATCGCGAACCGCCGGGCGCTGCGTGAGAATTTAGGCGACCTGGCCGACATGCCGATCGTCGCTTTGAGGACATCGCATATCAGCGAATGGCGCGCGACGTTGCTAACGCGCCGGCCGTGGAAGCGCGGCGGGAAACCGCTCGCGGAATCAACCGTCGCGATCATGACAGGCAACCTCGCCGGCATATTGGACCGAGCACAGCAAGACGGGCTTATAAACCGTGTGCCGCGTATCGAGGGAGCCCGCGCGCCGTCGTCGACTTCGATTAAACGCGCCGACCTTTTGACCGCCGAGCTCGTCGCGCGAATCATCACCGCGGCCGAGACCGACAAGCCACGAAGCCCGGCGCGCCGATGGTTAGCGCGCATGATTATCGTCGCCGCCGGCGCCGGTCTACGTATCAGCGAGCTGGCTGGCCTTCGTGTGCGCGATGTCGATTTCCTTCGCCGTGAGATTCACGTCAGAGAGCAAGCAGCCACGAACGAAGGTCACGCCCCGCTTAAATCGGAGTCGGCGGCGCGGACCGTCCCGGTCCCCCCGGCCGTACTCGACGCTATTGCCGAGCAATTGGCAGAGACCCCACGCGGCCCGGATCAGACTATTTGGGCGCGCGAAGATGGGCGCCTGCACAACCGGAATTCGATCGGCCGGGCGTTGCAGCGCGTGATCGATTTGCACGAATTGCCGGCGGTCACAATGCACGACTTTAGGCACTTTTACGCGTCGGCTTTAATCGCGGCGGGCGTGCCGGTTACCGGGGTCCAGGCGGCCCTTGGTCATGCTTCGGCGGCGACGACGCTTCGGGTGTATGCGCACCTCTTCGAGGGCGCCGAGGACGTCACCAGAACGGCCGCTGCGCGGGTCATGGACGCGGTGCGGGACCAGTGCGGGACGGGCCCGAAGTTGGTCGCCTTGTAGGCGCCGCCGGTGGTGCTATCAGTGCAGCTATAGGCACTTAGTCGAAGTGCGGATCTTCGTTCCGTGTGCGCTTGAGCTCGAAGAGCTCCCCCGATGGTGGTGACCTGCCGGTTTAGCGTTTGTGCAGGTCCAGGGCGTCCACCGTTCCCACGGTTTCCACGGTTTCCACCGGTTCTGGTGTGCCGTGCGGGACCAGTGCGGGACGGGGGCGCCCTTCTTTATGCAGGTTGGGCGGGGTGGTTTACCCCTTTCGGGGTAGGGATAGGTTTATAAAACTGGCAATGTAAACCCCCGTTTACGTATAGTGATGTTAACGCAGAAAACACCAAGCAGGAAGCAAACGAAATGACCTCCATCCAGTTTCAGAACAAGACCATCGAAATTGACCACAGCGCGCCGTTTGGCGTAATCGACGAATTGCCCGCGCAGGTTGTCGCGAACATCATCCAGAACATTCTGGACGGCTACGAATTCGGCAGCCACTACTTAGCCGAAGCCGGTAGGTCATTTACCTGGTCGGTCAAGTAATCACAGCGGCATAACCCACACCGACAAGAAGGACCCACACAATGGCACTGCTTTTCTGGGCGATATTGCTTATCGCCACCGCCCGCGCCCTAATCGCATAACCACCGAAAGGAACACCAACTAATGGACACCACCGCGCAAGACGCCGCCGAGCGCGCCCACAAGGCCCACAGCACCATCGTCGAACACCGCTATTACTTCGGCCCGAAAATCACACAGATAACCCGAATGGACGGCGCGACGATGTGTCTAAGTTCCGCGGCCCATAGTGGCGACCGGGTTCGGGTGGCGTGGAATACCCAGGCCCCTGACGGACGGGTCGAGGACACCGGAATTATCGACATGGCCGTCGACGACTCGGAGCTAATCGACCACCGGATCGGCGAATGGGCGAAAGAAATCACGCCCGACCCAGACACCGAGCTATAAACCCACACGACCAAGAAAGGCCAAACAATGCGCACGACCCGACTTATTGCCGCGGTAATTACAGCAACCATTCTCTCCGCCTGCAGCGCCCAGGAAACCGCGCCGGCAACCTACACGCCCACCACGACGCGACAGGCTGAGGTCATAACCCCCGGCGAGGTAGGTAAACCCTTCTACGTAAACGACCGATATGGCGACGGCCCGATCGAAGTGAACGTATCGACGCTCGAAGCCGCCGCCGAGTGCCTAGACGGCGACCAACTCAACACAACCGAGCCCGGGGACACGCTGGTCACCATCGGAGCCGACCTCGGAGCGATACAGGCGACGGAGACCGTCGACACCCCACAGATCAAGTTCTTCGACGCCGATGGGTACCAGCTGAATTCGGTCGTCACTTATTGCACCCAGCCGGAAAACACCCGGGATTGGATGGCTATCACCATCACGCCGGGCGACAAGGCGCGCGCGTCGAGCACGTACCAGGTAACCGGCGAGGTTTCCGAAGTTCGTATCGGTAACCACAGCTTCACCGGCGAGCAAATCGGCCGCGCCGACTAGTTAGACCGCGCTACAGGCAGGCGCCGGGGTTCAAGCCCCCGGAGCGCACTAGCGCACACGTTGCGCAACCAACCACCAGACCACCGAAAGGACCTCCAACATGTCCATACCCCCGATCGTTGACCACTACGCATACGGGAACGTCAAAGTCCACACCGAACTAGACGTCGAAGAAGAACAGTTCATCGCCGGGTTCGTCGTCCCGCTAGATTCCACTGACACGGCCGAAGAGGGCCGAGCTCGTTACGACGAATTCGTCGAAGCGTTGCGCGCGTTGGCCGATAGCTACGAACGCAACGGGATCGAGTTCGATGCCGAGCGCGCTGCGCAGGCCGAGCAAGACGCCGACAGCGAGCCCCACGGCACCGACGAAGGCGAAGTCGAGCGCGAAGCGCACCGGCCGGCGGTCGAGGAACAGAAACATATCATCACAGAGATCATAACCTCGTTCGTCAACGCGTGGACCGGCATAAACCCCGACGTACCGCTCGCCATAACAGCGAACACGGACGAGTTCGGCGCGACGATCACCAGTTGGGACGGCGACGACGTCGATTCCATGGACCCCCGCCCGCTGCGAATGGCAGGCAACGCCCTGTTAGAGCTTGCCGACCAGGTCGACACCAGCGTCCACCCAGAAAACGACTAGGAGAAAACCAATGTCAGACAACACCGAAATGAGCTTTACCGATTTCTTATCGGAGCTCGACCGCGGCCGCGTAGCCGAAGAGCTCGGAGAAACACTACTTGCCGTAATCGAAGGCGTGCGACAGACCGGGAAGGCGGGTCACGTCACGTTAAAGATTGGCACCGGCTGGGACCGGAAGGCCGACATGCTTCGTGTGTCCACGAACGTCACGTCGAAGGTTCCGAAGCTAGACCGCGCCGAGTCCCTCTTCTTCGTCACCAACGACGGCACACCGACGCGTAAGGACCCGCGACAGTACGAACTCGAACTCGAGAATAAGCGGCGTCAGGACACGGCGGCCGCGCACGTCGTCGACTTTTCCGCCCCACGTCGAACCAACACCAACAACTAGGAGACCACCATCATGACTACCGAAGCTAAGGCAGTTGCCGATCTTGCGCTCGACACCACCGACCGCGCACAAACCATCATCGCCGGAACCACCGACTACGGCGAAGCCCTGACTATCAGCCAGACCGTACGCCGATCCATGGACGGCAGCGAGACCGTAGAACGCCGAACCAACGAATACACACTCGCCGCCCCGTTCCGCCCACGTGGCACCACGAACGTGCGAAGCGTTGATTCACTAATCAAGATCGCCGACATGTTCGCCGAAGAGCAGCCCGGCCGACAGGTCGCGTTCAACTACCTAGACCAACGCAGCATCACCGTCATTCACAACTACATCGGCGGGTGGGGTGACCACCGTGCCGTGTACGTCACCGAGCCGACCCCGGAGTGGGCCGCGTGGGCGGAACTCGACGGCCGAATGATGAACCAGACAACCTTCGCCGAACTTTTGCAAGACCTTCGCCACACCATCGTCGAGCCCGACGCCGCCGACATTGTGCAAATCGCGCGCACGTTCACCGCAACGAAGAAGGCACATTTTGAATCAGGGGTTCGCCTGGAGTCCGGCGACGTCCAATTCAGCTTCGCCGAGGAAACTCAGGCGAAGGCAGGCCCGCGCGGCGGCACCGTCGAGATCCCAGAGACGATCACCCTGAATCTTCCGCTATTCCGTGACAGCTTCACCACGTCCAAAGTCGTCCTTGAATTCCGATACGACGCGAGCCCCGACGGTTTAAAGCTTGGATACCGCATCGAGCGTAAGGCGGCACTTATTGAAACCGCGTGGGCCGAGCTCGTGGACCAGGCGAAGGACGGCCTGTCGTGTCAGGTTCTCGACGGCCCAGCACCGGCACAAGTCGACCCATACAACTAGGAGCCGCGAACATGAGCCATTTTGTATTACACGTATTCACACCGGCACCGCCGAACGGGGAGAACAACCTCATTAGCCACCCCATGATGGACAAAATCATGGATCGATACGACGAAAACCGGGAAGTTGAACCCTACGTCGAAGGTCTCGTTCCTTTCGAGGAAGCGCAATATCTTCGGGACGAGCACGGCCCTGGGAAGTCGGTCGGTGATTTTATAGCCGCGTGGTACGGCGGCGACGAAGTGCGATGGTCGTCCGATAGAAACGGGTACGAAGTGATCACTACTTCTAACCCTGAATCGAAGTGGGACTGGTGGGTCGCCGGCGGCCGGTGGGAAGGCGGGCTAATCGTCAAAGGCGGCGAAGGGGTCAACGCTACCCAGGTTAAAAACCTAGCGTGGGACGACCACATCGTCGAGCTAATCGCCGAAGCTAATAAGCGTTACGACAAATTCCAGGAAGTGACCGCGGGGCTCGAAGTTCCCCCGTCGTATAGGCAGCTTCTAGAGGTTGGACAAGACCCGACGACAGCGCGCGCAAACTATCTCTCCGAACCGTGGGTTCAAGCGGCGCGAAGCCTTGACCCATTATCAATGTTGACGCCACACGAGCAATTCCACGTAGGCAAGGGTGGGCGAGATAGCTACGTCTACCAGGAGACCGGCGTGGACGTTCCCCACGCGTGGATCGACCTAGAAGGCGAGTGGCACGAGCGCGGTGAGATGGGCTGGTTCGGTGTATTCGATAAAGAAAAAGAGTTTGCCGAGCATGTCTCCGCGTATCGCGCCTATCGTGATTCGCTACCCGGTGATACGTATATCACCCTGATTGATTGTCATATTTAGAAAGAAGGACCCCATGAGCGGCGGAGAACTTGCCGAACTAGCGAAGGCACAGGAAGGTTTCACCAGGGCTTACCAGGTGTACCTTGATACCGCCGAAGCGCGGGACGACGCCGTTCACGCCGCGCGCGCCGCCGGCCATAAGATCGGCGCGATTGCCCAGGCGGCCGGCGTGAGTCGACAGACGATTCACCGCATATTGCGCGACGGATAATAGCAGCTACTAACCCCTTTGGCACCCCCTCACGGGGGTGTTTCTTTTGTCCCAACTGGCAATGTAAACCCCCGTTTACGTATAGTGATGTTAACGCAGAAAACACCAAGCAGGGAGCAAAACAGTGAACTACATCGAAACCACCAAGACCTACATCACCGACGTAAAAGTAACCACCCAGACCTACGAACTTCACCACGATGTCCGCCACTACGACGACGGCAACACCCTAAGCGACTACGTCCTGCGTTCCGCTAAGGATTCCAGCAAATACTGGTACGGCGTCGAGACCGGAAAGCCGGGCGAATACTTCTTCCAGACCATAGGCGGAACGGCTATCAAACGCGGCGGCAACAAGGTTATTTTCTTCATCGCAGGCGACACCATCACCCGGGTTAAGTAAGACCCATAAAACGCAAAAAGAGCCCCCGCCCAACCAATACAGGTTAGACGGGGGCTTGCTTTTTACGGTGGGTTCTTATTCCGGGCCCGGTACTCGTGAAAGGTCGG